GTAGGACCAGAAAAAAAGTTGGAAGTGGTCAGTGGTCAGGGAGTGGTCGCACTGCAAAAAGAATGCATCAGAAACAGATTAAACGCCTAAAAAAAATTGATTGATAAGAAGGACGGTGTTTCACAGCGTAACTTAGCCAAAAGATTCAATGTTTCACAGCAATATACATCCAAAATTATCAACAAAAAGACAAGCATTCAATATCATAAAAAAACTAAAGTGCTAAAAAGAACATTGGCTCAGAAAGCTGCTGTGCATCCTAAGTGCCGCCGAATCGTATTTTCTTATGTGCAACACACAGCTTTCTGGCAATGCAGGGTATTGTACTTCTGATCTCGACACAACTTCTAATGAGATTAAGTTTAAAAGAAAAAGCAAATATGAGCCAAAGTTATATGTTTAGATTGTCAGAGAAAGGGGTTTCAAAGCATTACATAGCTCCTTCGGGTCAAGCAGTCAACAAGGATATATACATTTCCAAATGTACATATCCAAATGTAATTCCAAAATGCCTGGTTAAATTAAAGAAGTTCATCAACAAGGTTCATAAAAACAAAACAATTGTGTTCTGGCCTGATCTAGCCTCTGCACACTATTCAAACAAAGTACAAAATTACCTAAAAGGCGAAAATATCAAATATGTGACAAGATATATAAACCTTGCTAATATGCCCGAATTGCAGCCGATCGAGGATTTTCAGAGTGAAATTAAAAGATTGGTGTATGCAGACAATTGGCAAGCTAAAGATCTCTGCCAACTAAAAACTCGAATCAAGTATTGCATGATAAAAATTGATCAAAATCTTGTACATAGACTTAGGGCGAGTACCTTTATAAGAGTTGACCGTGTTTCGCAAAATGGGCTGATAAACAAATTATTTTTATTTTATAAAATACAAATTTTTTGTTAATTTGCTTTTTAAATTTAAAAAATTTATAACTTTGTTTAAGAGATATTCATTTTCAAAGTTTGTCCAGATTTTTAGTTATAACATGTTACTATATATATATATATATATATATATATATATATATATATATATATATATATATATATATATATATATATATATATATATATATATATATATTATGTAGTCGTGTGCAGTAAAATGCGTATTTTATTTTTCTATTAATAAACTTTGAACATCAAAATATATTTTTCTATTGTTTATTTTTTATCGCTGTTGTTCATAAACTAAATGTTGTGATTATAATAGTATAAAGAAAGATAATTGCAGCACTGTATGGTTTTAAATTTCAATATTATCGATTGAAGGTCATTCGTATTTTTTTTTAGACTGTGCAATAAAATAGTAGTGAAAAATTAATTTTTGTGTAGTAATTACTGTACTTATTAAATTCTGATTATTATTAGTTCTTAATAATAAGCAATAAGGAAGTAATTAGTTTTGATATTAGATAAATTTATACACTTACTAAAATTTTGAAATTTTAGAGAAACATGGGGCGCTCTAAGCATTGTACTGAAGAAGTTCGTAATTTAATAATAAATCTTAAAAATCATGGTAAAACCTACAAACAAATACAAAAACTGGTTGGATGCTCACCAACAATGATTTGTAATGCTTTAAAATGGAAACCCAAACCAGAAAAACGTGGAAATAAAAGATCAACTACCGCTATTGAAGATCGTCGAATTGTATCGTTAGCGAAAAAGGAGCCATTTATTTCTTCTAGAAAAATTAAAGAAAAGCTAGAATTAAATGTTAATACCTCAACTATTCGAAGGCGATTAATGCCGATTTAAATGCAAGAACACCTAGAAAAGCGCCACTTTTGAGTAAAAGACATATCGAAAATCGTTTAAAATTTGCACGTATGCATGCTTCTTGGCCTAAAGAAAAATGGCGAAATGTTTTGTAGACTGATGAAAGCAAAGTTGAAATTTTTGGTTCCCATGTTCGTAAACAGTATGTTAGAAGACCAACAGGTGCAGCATATAAGCCACAATTTACATTAAAGACCGTCAAAAATAATGATATGGGGTTGTTTTTCTTACTATGGTGTTGGGCCTATACATCGCATAGAAGGTATCATGGATCGGTTTGTATATGTAAAAATACTTGAAGAGATCATGCTGTCTTATGCTGAAGAAGAAATGCCGTTAAAATTTTTGTTCCAGCAGGATAATGATCCCAAACATACAAGCAAGTTAGCCAAATCGTGGTTTAATGAGAACAAAATCGATGTGATGGAGTGGCCCGACCTCAATCCGATTGTAAACTTGTGGATTGATGTTAAACAATCCCCCGACCTCAATCCGATTGAAAACTTGTGGATTGATGTTAAACAAGTAGTTTCTGAAAATAATCCGAGAGGTTGTAATCAATTGTGGGACGTAGTACAGTCAGCATGGCAAAATATATCTGTCGAATGATGTCAGAATCTTGTTAATTCCATGCAACGAAGATGCTTGGCGTTTATTACAAATAAAGGTCATGCCACAAAATACTAATGTAGAGCTTCAAAAAAAAAATTTTTTTTTGTAATAAAACTTAATTATTTTTTGACCTTTTCATATAAAATGATTTTCACTACTATTTTATTGCACAGTCTAAAAAAAAATACGAATGACCTTCAATCGATAATATTGAAATTTAAAACCATACAGTGCTGCAATTATCTTTCTTAAATTTTTTTTACTACTATAATCACAACATTTAGTTTATGAACAATAGCGATAAAAAACAAACAATAGAAAAATAAATTTTGATGTTCAAAGTTTGTTGATAGAAAAATAAAATACGCACTACTATTTTACTGCACACGACTGTATATATATATATGTATATATATATATATATATATATATATATATATATATATATATATATATATATATATATATATATATATATATATATATACATACATATTTATACATATATATACATATATATATATATATATATATAATATATATATATATATATATATATATATACATACATATTTATACATATATATATACATATATATATATATATATATATATATATATATATATATATATATATATATATATATATATATATATATATATATATACATACATATATATACAGTGGTGGCCAAATAATTAGACTAAATGCAATTTTTGATGCATTTGTGAAATTTATTCATAAATAATGCAACATTTTTACTTCAAAACTTTACAAAAAATTAGAAAAGTTAAGAAGCGCAATATTTTATTGTAAAAAAGCACAAAAGTGAACCGTTTAAGTATAAAAACAATTAAATACAAAATTAGGACTTGATATTCAAATGCCAAGATGACTTAAAATTCGCATTTATAAGACTAAGTTAAAATTACAATAAAAATGCAAAAAGTAACAATAGAAAATGAAATAAATTACAATGGCAATGAAATTTCGAATATTTGAAACATGTCAGTTAATATTTTGTATGGTTTCCCTTATTTTTAAGCAGTGCCTAGACCGCTGAAGACATCCCATGAATAAGTTTTGGTCGAAGCTTACGGATTTCGTCGTCATGATGCCAGACATTGATCAAAACCTCGGTCAGTTCTATCTTGTTTTTTGGTTTCATCCCTCTTACTCTTCTTTTGACAATCTACCACTCAATGGGGTTCATGTTAGGTGAATTATTTGGCTACTGCAGAAGCTAAATGTGGTTGTCACCTAAGTATTTCTTGACTGACTTCGCAGTGTGACAAGGTGCTCCACCTTGCATAAAAGTGAATGGTCTCCGTCAACACATTTGTCAAGTTGAGGCAGCAGTCATGTCTCAAGTACTTTCTTGTATTGAACTTGATTCATGGTGCCTTCAACAATATACAGTTGTCAAGGCTATGAATAGAGATAACTGACCAGACCATGACATACGTTGGGTGCTTTACTGTCTCTGCAACACAGTTAGGATGAAATTCTTCACTGGGCCTCCTACGTACATAGGCTGCTTTCTCATCCATGATGTAAAAGGATGATTCATCACTGAAACACACCTGACTCCAATCATTTTCAGTAAAATTCTTCTGTTGCTTTCCCCATGCCAAATGTTTCTTGGTCATTGCCGAGTCAACTTTGGTTTTCTGCGTGGCCATCGAGCTCGAAAACCATTCACAACTAATTGTCTTCTGACTGTTCTGGTACTCACATGTACATTACTTTTTTGTAATTCTTGCTGCAAGATCTTACTTGTTGCTTTACGGTTTCTTATACAACATTTCATAAGGTACCTGTTGTCTTGCACAGACATAATTTTTTTTCAGCCAGAATTGCCAACACGGTTGCCTCGTAATGTTTCACCAGTCTACATCTTCTTCATTCTCGATACCGATTTTTGACTTATTCCAACATTTTTAGCAATCTCCTTTTGCGTGAGTGATGTCTCTCGTAGATAAACCTCAACTCCAATTTTGTCGGTGACAAGTCAGCAGCTTTTCCCATCTATTAAAAGGACATAAAATGCTTTATTAATTAAAAATGTTTCTTCATTTTTAATGTTGAAAATAAAAATAAATAAAAGATTGACCTATATGTAATGTCAAGCAACTCTTATTAATGTACATTATCCTTTAATTTCTGCTTATAAACATCAAACAAAGAAGAAAATACTGACCTCTAATAGATAGCAGGTGACCAAATTTTAATATTCAATTTACATTTAAAATTTTAAATAAAATGGATCTCGAGCAAAAATAAAAATAAATTGCACTTATTATCACTTAAACAACATTGGGCTATACATGCAGTAATTATATATACATTAATTTAATAACTAATTTGTGCCAATATTATATATATATATATATATATATATATATATATATATATATATATATATATATATATATATATATATATATATATATATATATATATATATATATATATATATATATATATATATATATATATATATATATATATATATATATATATATATATATATTATATAAGTTCTACGCATGTTTTTATATCAATTTATTTATTTGTTCTTAATTTGCTTTTCAGTTGGAGGTCGTGATGATACTACAGAACTAAGCAGTGTTGAGAAATTCGATCCAAAGACAAATAAATGGGCTCCTGTTGTTGCATTAAATTCACGTCGAAGTGGTGTTGGTCTTGGTGTTATGAATGGATCACTTATAGCAGTTGGTGGGTTTGATGGCACATCGTATTTAAAGTCCATTGAAATTTATGATCCTACTGTTAACCAATGGAAGCTTCACCCTGGCATGAATGACAGAAGACTTGGTGGAGGTGTTGGTGTTTTAACATTACATTATAGCGATTGGATAAATTTATGCGAATCCTAAATCTTTATATTATTAAAATGAAACATAGTTTTTTTAACATGACTATCATTATATATATATATATATATATATATATATATATATATATATATATATATAATATATATATATATATATATATATATATATATATATATATATATATATATATACATATATATATATATATACATATATATATATATATATATATATATATATATATATATATATATATATATATATATATATATATATATATATATATATATATATATATATTATATATATATATATGTAATTATTATAATTTGTTTTATTTTTTTATTATTTCTAAGTTTATACTTTAATGTACATTATATATTATTCTTATTTATATTACATTATATGGTTCTCTTGTATATACTTCTACTTTTGAAAAATTTTAATTTTATATTTTTTTTACCTAAAAGCTTTAAAATATTCAAATACTCATAAAGAAAAAAATTTTCAGATTTTTTCATATATATACATATATATATATATATAAATATATATATATATAAATATATATATATAATATATATATATATATATATATATATATTTATATATATGTATATATATGTATGTATGTATGTATGTATGTATGTATGTATGTATGTATGTATGTATTTAAGAAATTTGAGAATGAGTTTTAAATAATTAGAAAGAAAAAGAGACAAAAAGTATATGTTTTGATTTATGTAAAAAATTCACTTTGATAAAAATGTTGTAAGTTTTTTAAAAATGCATGGAAATTGTAAAAAGGCTAGATTTAAAAATGTTATATTTAAACAGAAATTAGATTGTTTATTTATTTAGATTATTAACTAACCATTTTCAGAATAGTAATTTAAAATTAATATAATAACAATAGTAAAAATAGTTTAAATTGTTTAAAAATTAAAATCTTCAATTCTTAATATTAAAAAAAAAGATTAAATTAAATAAAAAAGATTAATTGGACATCAAATATCTTGGCATGAAATTATTTAATGAACATTTGTAAAATGAGAAGTAATATAATAACTAAATAAATTATTTCTCAATTTATTTACCTCGTGTTATAAGGCATTTAAATCTTTAAATGTAATATACAACAAAGCCTAAATTTTATATATATATACATATATATATATATATATATATATATATATATATATATATATATATATATATATATATATATATATATATATATATATATATATATCAGTGCCAAAATTTTAAATGTATTTTAAATACTTTTTCCTATGGCTGAGGGGCCATTTTTATGGAGGAGTTACATTATAATTTAGTTTAGTATAAATTGTTGTGTAATTATAAATATACATTGAAAATATAAATTATAAATAGCATTAGCTTTTGACTGTTTATGAAAAATTTTGAATTGCTAGCTTAAATATTGTTAAATAACAATTTAAAATAGGAGAGATTAAAAAATTCTTAAAGTTGCTTGAAATTTGTGTTGATAAATTGTGTGGTTATTTTGCAATTAAAAATAAATATTCTACTCTATACATATGATTAGTTGTTTCAGCATATGATAGTATTGTTGTTGTATTTATTTATAAATACAGTTGTTTTAGCATATGATAGTATTGTTGTTGTATTTATTTATAAACAGTTGTTTAAGTATATAGCATAGTTATCAATTATTTAGAAGATATAAGGTTGCAAAAGGATTGTAATAGAAAGTACATTCAAACAGATTTGAATATTGAAATGATGAACATGAAAAAAGGTGAGAATTACAATGTTATAACTTAATCACATTTTTATCTCCTCTCCCTTTTTAGCTTTTTTGACCTTTTTATGATCTACCATCTAGTGGTGATCAAGTCACATTTTGGAATAATATTGTTTTGAATGTTTGGGAAAATAGATTTAAATTATTTTTTGTAATTAAGTTAAAAGTATTTGGCAATTTTTTTGTATGAGCAAAATCTCTCCCTTAATTTTTAAATTATTATTTTTAGTATTATTAAATTTAATCTACAACAAAAAAATCTGTGATCTAGGCAAAGTAACTAATCCCTGTAAAGGTAGATTCATGGTAGGAAAGTAAACAAACAACTGAGATTGAAAAATAACTATGCTAAATTGTCTATATATTAATAAGTTGCATTCTTGATGCAAGAAATAAAGATGATCAAATGAAGGTGTTGACAGTTTTTTAAATAAAAAAATTAATACCCTCCTCATCTGTAGCTGGCTCCTCTAGAGCCTAGGGAGTTAAATTTAATTGAAAAAAAAAAATTTTTCGGAGCTTGAATGGGATAAGCAAAACCAGAGCCATGACTTGGCTACCCCATACCCTGTTAGTGGAAAAGTTTTTAAAGTTTTTGGGCCCTTAAGTTTGGTTTTCTTTAGGTGGGCCCTTATGTTAGGTTTCTAGAGGTCTCATATAAGAGCAGTAGATCTAGTGTGAGTTCAATGAACCCAAAACTATCTGCTGTTTGAAAAAAAGTCTTTATGCTGAACAATACTCGAAATGAGGTCTCATATAAGAGCAGTGGATCCAATGTGAGTGCAATGGACTCAAAATGTTTTAATTATCTGCTGTTTGAGTTTGCATTTAAGAACACAGACAAAAGGATAAGTCTATGAGATGGCTTTTACTTCTTGGTAATAAAGGTTATTGTTTATAAATAATTTCTTTTGTATAAATATTATTGTATATAAATAATTTTTCATATATAAATATTGTTCTCTATAGATGATATCTTTTATATAAGTATTATTGTATATAAGTAATTTTATTTTTTATGAATACTATTGTATATAAATGATTTTTTTAATATATAAAAATTATTTTATATAAATAATATTGTATATAAATAAAATATTAAAAACTATTTAAACTCTTATAATTCATATTTTTCATAGTGAAGTCTGGAAAAAATCATTTACACAAAAGTTCAGGTAGATATCTTTTTTAATAAAAGTTATTTTTATTATTTAGATATTTATACTATATTAATTATTAATTTTTGTTTTATATTATTATTAGTTTTTATTATTAATTAAGTTTATTATGTTTGTTTATTATGTTATACATTTATATATTTATTGTTAAGTTTAGCACAGTGTTATTACAAGTATTGCAAGTAGTATTTTAGTCTAATTTTGTTATATTATTTATCATAATAAAATCTAGATCATGGCTTCAACAAAAGTAAATATATGTTTTTCTTTTGCAAGTTGTTAGCTAGGGATATTTTTTACAGCTTTTTTGCTACATTGGGAATATTTATTGTTATTGTTTTACAAAAATATTGGGAATTTATATTGACATTGCTTATATTGATATTGCTTATATTGACTGCCTTACTTTCAGATAAGAACAAATGAAACGTTTATTATGACGACAGAAGATTTTAAATATGAAGATGTCTTTTTAAGATTAAAAAACTTGAAAGAAAACAAATCAAGTGGTGTTGATAACTTACATTCAGCTATTTTAAAAAACTGTGCATCAGCATTTGCTATTCCACTTACATATATTTTTGAAGAATCGTTTGAAACTAGCAAATTGCCAGAGCAATTCAGATCAGCAAGTATTACTCCTCTGTACGAAAAAGGTGAAAAAACCTTAACAGTAAACTACCGACCAATATCACTCACCTCAATTGCTTGTAAAATAATGGAAGGTATAATGAGATGTAAACTTGAAATTTTTCTGAATGATTATAAACTCATAGTCAAGCAGCAGCACGGTTTTGTTAAAAGTAAACCATGCACAACAAATCTACTTGATACACTAGATTTTATTTCCACCAGTTTAGAAAATGGTAAACCTGTTGATGTTATTTTTTTGGATTTTGCTAGGGCATTTGACACAGTGCCCCATAAAAGGCTGTTACTAAAACTAGCAGCTTATGGAATATCTGGTCTAACAATTAAATGGATTGAAGCTTTTCTGAAAATTAGAAAACAAAAAGTTGTGCTAGTTGAAAACGTATCTTCTTGGGCAGAAATTATCAGCGGTGTGCCACAGGGGTCTGTAATTGGACCACTTTTGTTCGTGCTATTTATTAACGATTTTCCTGAAACCTTAAAAAACACATCTATACTGTACGCTGATGACGCTAAAATAATGAATGAAATGATTTCCTACAAATCAACAGTGTTTTTTGCAAGCAGATCTTGATAAAGCTTTTAAGTGGACTCAAGAGTGGCTTGTAAAGTTCAATATTTCTAAATGTATGGTCATGCACTATGGGATTAATAACAGAAAAATACCACTTTATATCAATAAACAAAAATTAAACGTAACAGAATCTGAAAGAGATCTAGGAGTAATTTTCTCAAACAACCTAAAATGGAAAAATCAAGTGATATCATGCGTAGGCAAAGCTAATCAAATGTTGGGTATGATTAGAAAATGCTTTGTTTGTTTAGATATTAGACTACTGAGATCACTTTTTGTATCTATTATCAGGCCACTATTAGAATTTGCAGTACCCGTTTGGTCACCAAATCAAAAGGATGAAAATGACTTACTGGAAAGAGTTCAACATTGTGCAACTCGACTAATATCATCACTCAAGAAAATCAACTATGAGAATCGTCTAAAAGCTCTTGACTTAACTACGTTAACAAATAGAAGAATTAGAGGAGACATGATTCAACTTTTTAAGATCTTTAACAGTTTCAACAAATTAGAAACAAAAAGAAAGTTTAATTTTCAACGAACTCAAACAAGAGGTCACCGGTTTAAATATGTAAAAGAAATCACTAAGCAAGCTCATCGAGAAAACTTTTTCTTTAACAGATCAGCCAATTTATGGAATAGCTTGCCGAACGATTTGGTTAATTCAGAAACAGTTAACAGTTTTAAAGCCGGTCTTGATTGCTGGATGAGCAGCAGTCAGGCAAATCAGCTGTCATAGTGTGCTAATAACTCTCACTGGTTCATACCAGTTACAGCATTTAATAATAATAAAAATAATAATAGTAATAATAATAACATTGTCTTGTTACTTCACAAAAAATTAAGTCATTAAATTTTGGGAATTTTAAACCCATTAGGAGTTTCACAGTATACGAGGTGCCATTGGGCTGGCTAACACACTGTTTCGTATACTAAATTAATATAATACAATGAATCTAAAAAAAGGTTATTTTTATTATTATAAAGCTATTGTAATAATTTCAATTTTACTTGCCAATTAAACTGAAAGTTTTTTTATAGGTTATATTTGCATATATTTCAGCTCGAGTTGTGATTGTTGATCTATCATCGACATCAGATCACTTACTAACATCATTTACTGACAATTTAGTTCAAGCATTGACTTTATTTTTTCCACTTCACAATTCTGTATCTGGTCCTCCGAAAGTCCAACTGTTTAGTTTGTTTGTCCTTGGAAAATCTGCAAAAGTTAGCATTATTTTTAAATACTTCATTTAAATGTGAAAAATTAATATCCAGTTTAAATAGTATGAACTGGAAATAATAGTAATAGATAATTAGAATAAGTTAATTACTTAAGTATAGTTTGAATTAAATGATTATATTATCTCAATACAAATATTCATATAAATATTCTTAAATCCTTTTTTTTTTTTGTTGATGTTTACTTCCCCAAGATTTGGGGGCGCTAATTAGGGAGGCTGCTTTTTTTAATAATAATAGTTAAATAATATGTATTGTATATAATTTTTGTAAATAATTTTTTTCATAACCAAAAAGTTTATAATTATCAAAGTAATTAATAATAAAAATAAATGTAACTAAAAAGATTACAAATAATAACTTTATTATCATGAGTTAAATATTATATATTGTCTAATAAACTTTATCCTTTTTTTTCTTTTTTTTATTATTTCTTTTTTTATAGTGCTTGGTACCATTACAAAACAGCATGAACTCAAAGAATATTTTGGAGTTGACTCATGAATTGATTTTGATTGAACGAAAATTTTCTGGAGGATCACATGACTTTGAAGGTTTGATTAGATTTTTGAATATATGTGATGTTATAGGATTTTTAGTACTATTGCTAAATGTATTTAATAATTTTTTAAGATGTAAGAATAAATATATTTGATAATTTACTAAGATGTAAGAATAAATATATTTAATTAGTTGTTGTAATGCAAGAATCTATCAATATCTAACAATAACAACAACAAAATGTTACTATAATGTGAAAAGAACAAATCAATATCAGGGATTAACTTTTTCCTGATATTTCCAGAATTCCTGATTTTTTTCCAACTTTTAGTTTTTCCGGATATCCAAAATCATTTCAATCCATGCAAGTTGAGGTATATATTTTTGCAATATATTTGTTTTTAAGCTTTTTCACTAATCACACAGAAAAATTATGAGAAGTGTAAAAAAAATTAGAAACAACTTAGCTAAAAGCAAAATTAAAAAGAAAATAAGGGAAAACAAATTCCAGATTTTTTCCAAATATTTCATCCAAACAATTTTCCGGATTTTTAAAATATGGCTAGGATGATCTATTCAATATGAAATTATGTTTTTTACATTACAACTAATAAAATAAAATACTTTAATAAATTAGGTCAAAATTTATCAGAAATACCTTAAAGGTAAAGCAAGTATTTATGAACAGCTATTTATCTGTATTAGGTAATTCAACAGTCAATCATATTCACTACCAATATATGTTATTAGTTCTAAAGTAGAATACCTTGTTTAAATATATAAAGTCATAATTTCACACATTAGATTATTGTAGTCAGCCATATTCAAGAATGTAAAAAGTAACTAATAACTATTTGAACCAAAAGTTATAGGTACTTTGGTATTAACTGTTTATCTAACACAAAAAAAATCTAAAATATGGAGTTACAATAATCAAACCCAACTGCACAACACACACTTTCTTGAGAAGTGTGGAAACCTTGCAATTCATTGCCAGAACATTTTATATTGCTCTATTTTTATAAACTTTGTTTTGACAATTTGACCATGGATTTTAACATTTTAAAAATACGCTGTATAAAATAGATTTTGAATTATATGTTAGAAACGAAATAACATCAAAACTTTTATCTACCCTAATGTTTTTATATTACCAAAACACTTTTTAAAAAATAACAAAATAGTAAAATTAATGATTGTTGTTTAAAGTGTTAACGAAAGTATTTTTTTGTATTATATAAATTATATAATACAAAAAAATACTTTCGTTAATCTTATTATATATGTATTTTTTTGTGTTATATAAATTAGCATTAGCATAAGTAAGCATTTTTTATAAAAAAATTTTATTTGGATTTTTGAACAATGACTTTTTAAGACAATTATAGTCTTTTTAATGAACTCAATATAAGAATCATTAATGTTATTACACTAAAAAAAATTTAAAATTTTTTTTTTTTTATGATATTAGAAATATTTTGAAAAACCATTTACTACACAAATCGTCAAAACAAAGTATCATTTGCGTGGTCATATAATGGCAATGGACATATAATCACACGCCTTCCTAACCAAGACTGTATATATATATACTACTAATTTATATATATATATATATATATATATATGATTTTCTAATAATTTATATATATATATATATATATATATATATATATATATATATATAATTAGTAGTATATATATATATATATATACAGTCTTGGTTAGGAAGGCGTGTGATTATATGACCACGCAAATGATACTTTGTTGATTTGTGTAGTAAATGGTTTTTCAAAATATTTCTAATATCATAAAAAAAATTTTATTTTAATTTTTTTTTAGTGTATTAACATTAATGATTCTTATATATATATATATATATATATATATATATATATATATATATATATATATATATATATATATATATATATATATATATATACAGTGGTGTACACTCGATTTTTAGATGTTTGAGTTTTGACACTTACAGGCATTGTGCAAACTCCAAACTTTTGTATGTTCATGCTTATGTCAAATGAGGATGTTTTGCAAAGAATTGCAGTGATTGGAGGTTGGGAACAAAAAAACCCTAATTTTTGGGCCCACCCAACCCTTAATATGGGAGCAACAAGTTTATAAAAAATTTTCTCTTCTATTTTTATCTAAGTTTATATTTATCAACAAATTTTAAATTTCATGCAATATTTTTTTAGTGTTCAGTTTTTATGACCATATAAAGTTTTAACCCCTCTCAATTTGAGGGGGCTCTAAACTTTGCAGGGTCATCAAAACTGAACACTAAAAGATTATTGCATGAGAAAAAAAAAAATGCTGTTGAAAAATTAATTACAAATAAATAAATTACGAATCATCAGGTGAATGGGGTCTGGGAAACTCCGTAAATACTAATAATTAAAAAGTTTTCAAATTTTCCTTGAAACTAAGTTCAGTATAGGGCTTTTTTTTAATGGGCATACTAGCAATAATTATTTTTTTGATATAACAAACAAACAATGTAAGACTTAATTATTACATAATATACAAATGCTTAATTAAGTTAATAATCTTGATAGATAGCTTATTTTTTGAGCATTCGAAGTCTGATATTAAGTTTGCATGGTATTATACATTAATGTATTTACATTATCAAAGTTAAAATGGTATTTTTTTTATAGAATAAGAATAGTTTTTATATATAATCAGAGTATCACAGTTGTTAGTACAGCAAAACAGAAAATAAACATTTTCATACAGTATACCTTAATATATAACTAACTTAAAGCTAATTTAAATTTTTTATAAAAAATTTATGTTAAATTATGCCAAATACTAAAATTTATACTAGATTAAAGGAAAACTAGTCCAAAATTTATGTAAAAAAAAAACTGAAAAATTGTTAAAAAAAAGCAATACAACACCAAAAAAACACCAAAAAAACCAAAAAAACATGTTTTTTTGACCCAAAAAAATGCCTAAGGAAAAAAACGTGTTTTTTTGCAACTCTATATATCTATATCAATAAAAACTTATCAGAAAAACAGTGGATTAACTTGTTTCTTTAGATAATACACAGAATATTGTCATTGTTAACTTTTCCTCTAATTTATCAAGAGATAAATTAGATGATGAAAGATTCTTTGCAAGTAGTTCTGTCCTTGGAAAAGGTCAGATGTATGAGAGATGACATGTTAGACTTGATACATGTATGAGAGATGACATGTTAGACTTGATACGTGTATGAGAGATGACATGTTAAACTTGATGCATGTATGTTAGACTTGACTTTATTAATGACATTGTTAATGATTTTCTAAAAATTCAGACTTGAAGAAAAAATGGCATGCAATGGAAGGGTATTCCTGATGAGGCATATAATTTTTTTTTACAATTTGATCACTGCTTTTTAGATGTTTTGACAATTTAGTGAATGCGCTAAACTAAATTAAAAAGAAAATAAAACAAACTAAATTAAAAAAAAAGAGCACATTTTTAACAAAAAGAAATTAAAAAAAAAATAAAAAAATTAAAACTTAAAGTGAAAATTATTTAAAGTTTTTAATAACATAAATTATTTAAAGTTACATTTTTAATAATGTAAATAATAGCTATGGCTTTAATTAAGTGGTCTTCAAATGTTTAATGCTTTTGTAATTTTCTTTTAGATAATTTGGCATCCATTTTAAGGGAATGTGTGGCAGATTTTCAAAGTAGCTCTGTTTCATTTCAAGTGAATTTTTTTTATTGTGCAAAACATACTAGTATTGTTCCAACCTTTTATATGCAGTAAAATAGTAATTATGTAATTATGTAATGCTTACATAAATACATACATAACTACATACATACATACATACATACATACATACATACATACATACATACATACATACATACATACATACATACATACATACATACATACATACATACATACATACATACATACAAACATATATACGTACATACATACATACATACATACAAACATATATACGTACATACATACATACATACATACATACATACATACATACATACATACATACATACATACATACATACATACATACATACATACATACATACATACATATATATATACATGCATACATACATTATTATTTTCATTATTATTATTATGTTTTTGGTATTTAGCAATAGTATTCTGCTTATTTTAGATTTTAAAATTTGTGAATTTTTTTTTAAGTTTGACTTTATTCCAAGCATTTTTTAGACAATGAATTAAAGGTGAATATATAGTGGTATAAGGTGAATAGTGCAAAAGCAGAAAACCATTTTTGCTTCAATTAATGTCCTTTATATTGCATTATATTATTCATACTACTTGCCTAAATGCTAAGTAGGTTTATGTACTGATGTCACCACTGATTATTTCAGTATGACATCCATATTTAATAAATAGAACATTAATATAGAACTTAACATGAAACTATTTTTAAAAAAAGGAACACTATATATGAACTACACAGAACCATTGCTGTATGTAACCAATGGTTACATATAGCAATGGTTCTCTGTGGTAAGGTATCTGAAAGAGTCCACATAAAATCCTAAAATCTCTAAAAAACTAAAAGTTAAGAACTTTTACTTCTTTTAACTGCTCCCCTAAGTAATAAACTGTTATTACATTTTTAATTTGATAATAGATTTTTTTTACACTAAAGAGGCTCCACCAAAATAAGTGACTCATATAAGGTGACTGATGGTGTAAGAGTATAGAGTTCATAACTGTAATGGTAATGCTAAGTTCAGTAAAGAAAAACATTAAATATGACAATATAGTTATCATTAGCCTAATCCAGCTAATAATCAGCATAATCAGCAACTTATATCCAGCATCTGAGATAAGAACTTACCAACTCGATATTAGACATGTATGATGTAAACTACATTGTGCACACAATGTAGTCTACATGTAGACACAATGTAGATTTCATTGTGTACACATTGAAGATTACATTTGGTGTACAGCTATTTAAATGTATAAATATTTATATTGTTTAGAAAATTCACAGTCATCCATCGCACATTGACATATGTTTATTTACAAATCATCAACATCAAGTGATCAAAAAACAAGTTGCCAAAGTGATAAATGAAAACAATATTGATTTAATAAAAGTATGTATTTTGCTTTTCTTTCATAAATGAGTTTATTAATATGTTTAGTACAAATGTTGACATAAGTTTCATCATTTGACATTAATTGTTGAATGAATGACAAACTTTAAGTGTGATTTTGTTTTGTAAAACTTTAAAGATTATTTCTGCACCCAATAAATCTTATTTTTTATACAGTTTATATAATATATATAATAATGATAATAAAATCATTAACTTCTTTAAAAATTATGTTAATTTATGCTTAAAAACAACAATTATTTAGAATATTTACTATATATATGTGGGTTCTACAATTTTTTTTTAACATAAAGTGTAAATTTAATATATTTAAAAAAATGTTGTGGTTTAATTTTAGAAAATAAAAAAATAAAAAATTATAGTTAAAAGCGTAATTTGTTGGATATTTATGCAACATATGTTTGATCTGCTATAATTTTATATATAATGTGAATTTTCAGCTAACAACAGCTATAATATAGTTTATAAATATAATTTTATTTATAAAAATTTATTTTATTAGCAGTTTTAAAAGTAATTTAATTTACTGATTTGTTATCTACTACTAATTATAACAATTTAAATAATTTTTTTTAATATTTGTGAATATTTTAAATTTTTATATAATTTTAAAAACTAATACAAATATTTTACATGTTTGTAAAAATAAATAAAAGATATTTATAAGGTATATATAAAATTTTATTGGTTCTTTTAAATTTAAATATATTTACTCAGAAAGTTCAAATAGTTCATGTGTCAAAACTGATCAATTTAGAAATACAAGTTAGTCAACAGAGTGCAGGTCAGATCATATATAGTTGCTTTTTTGTGTGGATATTTGTTTGTTATTTTTGAATATATCCCTTTTTTATCTCAATAAATTGTTTATTGTTATCTAAATTTTATTAAAAAAAAGATTATATAAGTTTTCTAGCTATAAATGTTTTTTCTTAGAGTGTAGCATTGGTCTTGCTTAGTAATAAACAATTTAGAGTGTAGCATTGGTCTTGCTTACTAATAAACAATTTAATCTTTAAAGAACAGCAAATATTTTTAAAAACTATTGTATAACAAAATAAAACAATAAATACTGAAGTAAAGTTTCATTTAAAAATATCCCCACAAAGATATTTTATTTGGTTTGCTATTTTGACAAATGTATAAGTTTTATAGTTGCTTGAAGAAATAATAATTGTAACTGAAAGTCTTTTTACCCATATGACAATTTATTTTACCAATTTAACAATTTATTTTACTAATTAAAAAAAAAATCATTTATAGGCATTGTTTATAAAATAAAAATATAAAAAAATAAAAAAGATAAAGTAAAAAATTATAAAAATGATCATTATTTTATAAAAAAAAAAAAAAAAAAAAAAAATATGATTAAAAAATCTTGTTAAATTCACTTATTTTAGTTTAAAAAAATGTCATCTTTTCTGTTAATTAAAATTTGAAATAATAATTTATTTATAAAATGATTCATATTTTTGAAATTTTTTTATTTCTCTTCATTTGAGACCCAGCATGATACTTTTAAAAAAAACTTTTTTTTTTATAATATTAGGGAGCCATTAAATGTTCAAGGGTCTGCACAGTGTGCCAGAGATCAGCATAAATGCCAAAAATGAGTATTTGTGGAAAATTTTTTTTTTGTAAAATTTTAAGTAAATACCCCACAATAAAATAATATGACGTTTAAATATTTTCATTTTTGTTTTAGGAGTCCTGGGAAAGATTTCAAGCTTTTCATTTAAAAAACGTTTTTTTTTTAAGAAAAAAAAAAACAGAAAATACTCATAAAATTGAATTTCACCTCAAAAGCGTAATTTTCTTTAATTTAATTAAAATTTTATAGTCTCAATATCAGGGTACATGCTTTATTATAGAAAATTTAACAAATAAAAATAATCTTGTATTTTATAACTTTTTTCTTAACTTGAAATATGACAGTAAAAGTATTTAAATAAAAATCAAAATCAAAAAAAAGTAACCATAAAAGGCTCAAGATCTTTTTTCGCCCACGTTAAAACGCCCACGTTACGATTTCGCCCACGTTTCCCCACTATGGAAATAACTTTTTTACAGAATCTTATTTTTAAACATATGACTCATTTGTTATTTTCAATTGTTCAAAGCGCCTTGTTATTAAGTATGAACTCTAAATAGTTAATTGCAGTTACAGAAACTACAAGAAACAATAAAATTTAATGCTATTCCACTTAATTAAGTAATGTGGTTTTTTTATTTATAAAACTTAATCTTAATTCAGTTAATTATCAGCTATGTTTTTAATAATTAAAATACAAATACTATTTAAAAACTTTAAAAAACTATAATAATATTTTTAAATTAAAATTTCATTGTCTCAATTATTATGAAAAATAAAGAAATAACTAGAAAATTGTTTCATGCTTTTGAAAACAACTTAATCAAATCAATTACAAACCCTGATGCTTATAAAGTTACAGGGATCGCTGACAAAGACTTAGTACAGTACAGGGATCGCTGACAAAGACTTAGTACAGTACAGGGATCGCTGACTTCAAATTATTTACTAAACAATTTATTTAAAAATGGAATAAAGTAAACAGATGATACAACATACAACATACAGGTTTGGTAAAAATACTTAATGAATCTGTAAAAGCTTCTGAGAAATCCATACTAGTCTTTATACACAAAATTTGATGGTTCAACCGGCCAATCATTATTCAAACAAAGTACAGAAGACAAGATAAGTATCATTTATGTTGAGGACCAATCTTTATTTCTATCCTGCATTGTTCTAATTAAACTTTATATTGAAGAATCTGACAAACCACTATGGAGCAATGAAAAGCGATCCTCTACACTTTACTGCTGTCAAGTACAATTTCAATGTGTAAAAAAAAGGGCTGTTATTATGCAAGAATATATCTCCTTTAAGAAACATAACTTGAAAGCAACAGCCTTTATTTTCTTTATTATCAAACATAGGTTAGAATGCACAATTATTGATGGAAAAGTGGCTACTATAGTTTTGCCTTTAAGGAATTCTTTTCAAGTATGTAGTATTTTTGGACTGCCACTTCAAATATAAACAATATAAATGTTGGTTTTTCGAAAATATCTAGAACAGTTTCCACTGAGCTTGGATTAATTACATGCATGGATTAATCACATTACATGCATGGATTAGATGCTTTGAATACTGCCTTCAAATAAGTTATAGAACTGAATTGGGAAAGTGGCAAGTTAAGGGAAAAAATGATAAAGAATTTGTTATTAAAAAAAAAGATTATTGTTTAACAAAAGATGAAAGACCACTTAGGTTTAATTTTAGATGTACCAAAAAGCAGCGGTTCAGGTACAACAAATGAAGGAAACGCGCCACAAAAAGTATTCTAAAAAGGTGTCTGCTGAAATACTTGGCTTAGATAAAAATCTTATGAAACGTTTCTACGTGATTATTTGTGTTTTATCGTGCAATCAATATCAAATTAATGCTGATGAACTTGAAGAATATAACAAAGAAACAGCAGAGCTCTGCCTTTTTCTGTACCCATGGTTTCCAATGCCTTAAATCGTACTTAAAATTCTAATTCATAGTTCTCAAGCTGTAAGAGATAAACTAGTTCCAGTCTTCTTTCTCAGCTCAGAATTGTCGAAATAAAGACGTTAAAAATTATAGAGAACACTATGCGATAAAATATTCAAGAAAACTCACTGAAAATGTAATGCGAACATTATTGTGCTGTTCAGATCCAGCTCTCTAAGAAGAAGTTTGAGATGAATTAAAGAACTTTAACTTAACTAAGATTGTATCAAATTTTTGTTGTAGCTTTTTTTTAATTTTAAGTTTTGTATATTTCTGTTTTTAATTTCTGATAAAATATCTAATAAATAAACATTTCTTTGTTTATAAAAAAGGGTCTAACACGTAGCAAACATTTTAATTAATTAATGTTTCAAATTCGGGAAAAACTGTTTCTAAAAACAGCTAAAAATCATGTCTAAAATCCCTTACATCCTATTAGCACCCTTTTCTATTAGAGTGTTTAGGTTGCCTGCTTTTGCAAAAAAATAATTATTTTCTTTTAAACTGATCTTCATGATGACTAGAGTCACTGATAAAAATTTTAGTCTGACAACTTTAAGAATAAAGGAGTTATGATTTTTTGTCCATTTTATGTCAATCTTGGCACCCTGTGGTCTGTAGCAACCCCTAAAAATAATTTTTATTCAAAAGTTTTTTAAATCCAGTATTATTTTATTATATAGAACACATTTAAGAGGTGGCAGCAGACATTTTTAAAAAAAGTTGTTTTTAGAATCACCCTACCTACAGGTTTTTTGCAAATTTGGCAAGAAAAGTCAAAAGGTCGAGCAAGTGAAGATACAAACTATCTTATCATCGTGTTCTTCTGAGACTGGATAAATTTAGGTTTACTCTGATATTTTTTTTAAGCTTTAGAATCTTAAAGAAGAAGAGGGTTGTATCAACAATAAAAAAAACTAATAAAAAAAGAGAAGGTTGTAGTGGCAGCCCTTTTATTTGGGGAGATGAGTACAGTTTACAAAAATGTTTTGAAAAAAAAATTTAGTAACACATTAACTGAGAAGTCTGTTAAATTCTTTTACTAATTTCTGTGTAAAGGTTCTTCTTTTAATTTATTAAAAATAAAGTAAAGTTATAGAAATGAAGTACTTAGACTGTATCTTTAGAAATAAAGTAAAATTTTAATTTTTAACTTGTTTACTTGATATGATTTTGTGGTTGTTTCAGCAGAAGTAAAGTAAAATAAAAAATAAATGTAATGTAGGAAAATAAAAATGTAAAATACATCACAGAAATAGATTTGTCTTCACAATTTATTAAAGCTGATAAAATTGTTAAGTCAAATTCAGTAACATATTCAGCCATTAAAGAAATACTTTATAAAAATTTTGAACTATCAATTAATACACTGGAGTTTAAAAATATGTGTGAAAAATATGGAAACGTTATAAACGCCTGAAAGAGAAAAAATTTTCACAAACATCAAAAGATAATATTTATAAAGTAGAGGATGCTTACATAACAGAACCGTGTTTTTCAAAACAAAGAAAATCTTTTACAGAACTGGGTGATAAGTTGAAAAAGGAGAGGACACAGGATATATTCTCAATTATATAAACAACTTTATCACTAATAAGTTCCAAGAGTTGCATGTTAACCAGCAATGCCGTTATGGGTTACCTCTTATATAGAGTTAATACACAAAATAATAAAAGTATTGCTCGTGTTGAAAATACAATTTTTGCAAACCATATAGAAACAACAGATATCTTTAGCATAGATAAATCCATTGCTTTAATGCATTCCCTTATATTAAGTAAAGAGCAAATGGGAAAATTAAGATTTCTTTTTGCTTCAAAAGACATTTATTTTCCAACAACCAATGAATTACTTGAAGGAAGAAAAAAACTATAAAAATGACAATTGATTCTGTTTTGAATATAATTAAAGATTCTTTTATTCCAGTAGACGGCAATGAGAATCAGCTGTGTTTTAAGGATGGTTGTGATAGAGCAAGGCAACAAGTATCAATGAAATCAAAAGAAATGATTGAAAGCAAGTCAAATATGTTTCAATATGGCCTTATTCCTCTGAAATTAATGTGCCATCAAGATAGTAAAAATATGAACCTGTGGCAAAATTATTCACCAAATGCATCAAGATCATTACGTCCTTTGTTTTTGATAAGAGAAGCAGAAACTAACCAAGATCTGCTAGATCTTATTGTCCCAAACTACTGATAATGCACAAGAAGTTAATGC